TCAAGGCCAGGGGTACCAAGGCCAGGGCTATCAAGGCCGGGGGGATCAGGGAAGTCAGGGGTATGGAAGACCCCGCTTTGACTGGAGGACGGCCACCTGTCAACATTGTGACCAGCAGGGCCACATTATAAGGTTCTGTAATATAAGACGGGAAGACGAGAGAAGCGGACTGATTTCCTCTACTATGGATGAGAATATCTACGATCAGTTTGGGGAGGCCATTGACAGAAGGCTTGGAAGAGTGAGGGTTGAAGCCCAACGAAGAGCGGCAGCTGGGCCACCACCCCCTGCCATGTTCAGGCTATGGCAGGAAAAGGAGAAACCACCGTTTGGAGTGGAAGAAGATGGGAGCAATAAGGAAGTGACTCAAGGGCTGCGAGGAGGACGTGAGACGGAAGAGACCATAATCATCGAGTCAGATGACAAGGATGAGGAGGAAAGAACGGAGCCTCTGTCCGTCTTATTTGAGAAGATGGAGGACTTGCTGGATAAGATGGGGAGGTACCAATAGAAGTTGGAAGGCCTCTGTGAAGGAGTGAAAGGATGGAAGTCTAATGTCCCCAAAGTATTCCTCTATGACTCCGGCCCAGAGTCAGCGCTAGGGCGACCCGGAGTAAATGTGGTGGGGTCGTGCCCTCAACCAGGAATGAGGGGGAGACCCCTCACTCCGCAGGCCCAGCTGGCAGAGGTAGCGCGAACGAGAAATCAAGCCAAGGCCAGTACCAGCCAAGAGCCTCCAAGGGGGGAACACGAACCAGGGAGAAGGAAAGAGGCTGTGGAAGTAGAGGACGACGATGATGAAGAGGAAGAGAACGAGAGGCTGCGCAGAGAAGAGGATCAGAGAGCGGAGCAGCGGGCAAGGAAAAAGTGAACCAGGGGAGAGGTCGAACCGGTCATACATGGCGGACCGCCCAAAAAAAAGAAATACGAGTTCGGTTGGAAGAGGGATTTGATGTAGAGAAGGTAATTGACCGGCTACTGGAAGGACATAATGACCTCATGACCCTGAAGGAAATCCTAGCGTCAGCCCCGCGACTCCGCGATGAACTGAAGGGGAGGTTATCACGGTGCCTGGTGCCTAATGTCCATCTGGGTACGATCCTGCCCAAGGAGGCAGAGTGGGCAGAGTCAGGTACGAAGATGGACTGAAAATGCGTAGCCTGCGGTACGGTGGATTTGATGGTGAAGGGTTCCAAGTGCGCAGCAATGGTGGACACCGGGGCAAAGATGAACATTATTCGAGAGGCGGACGCGATCAGATTCGGGCTGAATATAGACCGTTCTGACTGCGGTATTCTGCATGGAGCCAGCTGTAAGGCCATGTTTTATGGGACAGCCTCGAATGTGCTCGTCGAGGTTGGAAAGGTGAAGGTCAGGGTATGTTTCTTTATAATGCCATACGTGGACCATGGAATCCTCATTGGGAGGTCATTCCTAAGCAGGACAGAGACCGTGATGTTCAGCAAACATGATGGGACGTTGATCCTCCTCTTATGCGATCCTGCTTGCGGAAATTATGAAATAATTACTTGCAGGAATACCGGGCCAAGGAGTATAAGGAACCGGCCCAATCCAGGATCATTCACAATCGAGGAGTCGGAGGGGGAGCGCAAGAGGCTCTGGGCAGAGCCCGAAGCAGGAGAGAGGGTGGAAGTATTTCCCCTTAGCCTGTCAGATGTTGGGAAGGCCATGGACCTGGTGGCCGCCCACGAGATGGCAGATCCGGATGCCATCCAGGCCTTGAGGGAACAAGTTCTGGAATGCCCTGAGGCAAGAAGGTTGGAACTGGTATATCGGCTCCCAGCCAGTAGAGGGAACCCCGCATCAGCGCAAACACAATCCGTGAGTCGGCCCTTTTTAGGGGACGGCTCAAGCAGGGTTCTCAAAGGCGGTACAAGACGGTAGATAAAAAGTGTCACCCGGTACCCGTCCTCGTTACAGAGGACGAGGAAGCATATTACGAGAGGGAACGAGGGTTGATTCGACAAATGAGGGAAAGTGCTTTAGCAGGGCCATGTCGTATCAATGAAGGGAACGAGAAGGAGTTTATCATAGGGGAGTTTGATTTCCTGCTGCCTCAGGAGCGAACGCTGATGGTGGAATTAATGAAGAGGAAGCATCGCGCCTACGCGTTTAGTGACGAGGAGCGTGGCAGGCTCGATGTAGATAAGATACCTATGATCCGCATCCACACCGTGCCACACGAGCCTTGGAACATGAGAGGGGCGCGATATCCTAATCCTGACGAGGAAAGAAAGGTGGTGGATTATCTCGACGGCAAGATACGTACTCACGTCGCCGACTATTCAAGTGGACCGTATGCGTCCCCGTGGTTCTGCTTTATTAAGCCTAACGGGACGCTGCGGTGGGTGCAGGATTTGCAAAGATTGAATGTCGTGACTGTGCGAGATGCTGGAGGACTGCCGAATGCAGACGCGCTGTCGGAATCCTGTGCTGGAAGGCCTATAATTTCGCTTATAGACCTTTATTCAGGATACGATCAGTTCCCAGTCTACCCGCCGGATAGGCCAGTGACAGCTATGCACACGCCGCGAGGATTAGTCCACATGAACGTGGCCCCACAAGGGTGGACCAACGCAGTAGCCATGGTCCAACGGGCCATGATTCGGGTCATGCAGTCAGTCAACCCCCATATCACACAGCCATACATTGACGATTTGGCAGTGAAGGGGCCGGCGATGAAAGAGAGCGACGAAGTCTCACCAGGGGTAAGGCGCTTTGTCTGGAAACACATTCAGGACCTCGAAAAGGTCCTGAGCCTACATAACCTCACGGCAAGCGGGGCCAAATCCAGACACTGCATGACGGAAGCGACTATCTTGGGGATCGTCTGCAATGAGAAGGGCCGAAGGCCGGATGTGAAGAAGACGGACAAGATTACTGAGTGGCCAGTTCCGTTCCACTCAATAACTGATGTCAGGAGCTTCCTTGGTACGTGTGGATTTTGGAGGGCCTTCGTCAAGAACTTTGCCGCTAAGACTGAACACCTGAGGAAGTTAGTCCGTCAGGATCAGGAATGGGTATGGTGTGAGGAACGAGAAGAGGTGGTGGCTAAAAGGAATTCCGAGAAGGAGGGTTGGTGTTAGGAGCGCCAGATTATGAAGCCACAGAGACGCGACCCTTCATTGTCGAAACGGATGCGGGACCGACCGCCTTAGGGGGAGTTCTAATACAGACAGACATGGAAGGAAAGGAAAGGCCCTTGCGATTTGAAACCGGACTCTCAGTACGACAGATAGGAACTACTCTCAGTTCAAGAGGGAGACCCTTGCTGTCCTCCACTGTCTGCGAATCTTCCGAAACTATGTCTTCGGCAGGAGATTTATTTTGAGAGTGGATCCGACCGCCCTAGCCTACTCTCTAAGGAATTACGTTCCATCGGATCCGACGATTGCCAGATGGCTGACGTACATCTAGATGTTCAATTTCGAATTAGAACGGATTCCTGGTAGTAAGAACCGGGCAGACGGGCTGAGTCGGATCAACTGGGATAAGCAGGAAGGGGAGGCGGTTGAGAATACGCCCCTAGTTGATGGATTTCTGGATCAGAAAAAAGATGTTCGTCTCCATATCAATAAGTGGTCGCCGCGAGTGCCCAGCTGTGTAGGCTATCCTATTTGGCAAGCGCCGAGCGGATATGAAAGGAGGACCGAGCTGGTCCTCAAACCCTTTAAAGAAGAGGATCCCTGGGGCGGTAAGGATGTTCAGTGGATGATGGAATTAGCGCTGACCAACTCGCATAGCCTGGTGGAGGATATGAGGACGATTGAGGAAGGACCTGGCCACGTAGAACGGCATGAGGACCCGATGGGAGGAATGTATCTTCTCGTCAATACGTTATTGCAGGAAAACCTAGACCAGTCAGGCTCGTTGAACCCGACAGGGAATGTGGACGAAATACCCGAGAGTCAGGACGACGAGTTTGAAGAAGGGGAAATTAAGGAAGCTTTTCGTGCAGAGGAGTACGAAGGGATCTATCTAGAGTTGGGGCTTCTTCTGTCATGTGAAATGCGGCTAAGAGATGCGAGCGATAGGACTCAAAGGATGCTGCAGCGCTACTTAGTGCGAGACGGTCACCTTTTCGTGAGAAGGGAAGTGGGGAATCCCAGGAGAGTCGTCTGCAGTAGGAATCGTCAGATCGATGTCGTAGCAGCGCTTCACGATGGTATTGCAGGAGGTCATCGAGGGGTACAAGCCACGTATGCCAAGATAAGTGAGCTGTACTACTGGGATGGGATGATGGATATGGTCGGAAAGTTTTGCCGATCTTGCGTACCTTGCCAGGAAAGATCCCGTTTAAGGCAAGGAGAGCCGCTGCATCCCAGGCTAGAGCGAGAGGTGGGGGTTGTAGTGCATCTCGATCTACTTTTTATGCCACTTGGGGATCAAGGCTATAACTATATCTTCGATGCACGCGATAACCTGTCTGGGTTCGTAAACGGGCGTGCTATTCACACAAAGACCGGGTCAGTCCTGGTGAGCTGCATCGAGGAGTACTACCTGCGTTATCCTTTCGTGAGGGAATTCGTAATGGACAGAGGATCAAAGTTTACATGCCAGGAGGTGCAAGAACTGTTATCAAGGTATGGTGTGGCAGCCAACTACACCACGGCCGCGCACCCCCAGGCAAATGCTCCCGTAGAGAGAGGACATAGTACCATTACGAATCTCCTGGCCAAATGGAACGAAGGTAGGCCTAATCAATGGCCAAGATACCTAAGGGCGGCTTTATTTGTCGAGAACATTACAGTAAAGAGATCCACCAAGTACGCACCTACGACGCTATGGTACGGAAGGCATGCCACCTTCCCTATCGAAAGCTTTCTTAAGACGTGGAGGCGCCAGGATCTGGAAGTTAACCTGTCATTTGAAGAGTTGCTCGATATTCGGGCGCGGCAGGTTGGGGCGATAGAAGAAAGGATCCAAGAGGCATCTGATCAGGTGGCGAGAAGCCGTATGGATGATAAGGCTCGATGAGATCAGTTTGCGCGAGTGAGGAAAGTACCCTCGGCAGTCGGGGATGTCGTGCTTCTCTACGATACATCGCTGGAGAAGCAGTGGTCCAGGAAGCTCGATAAGAGATGGTTAGGTCCCTACCGAATCGCACGGGTCGGAGACTTCGGAGCGTACCAGATCGAGGAGTTAAATGGGGCTGAGTGGAAGGATTGGGTATCTGGAACGTGACTGAAGAAATTTGTGGCGAGAGAAGAGGTAAGAGAGATGACCTGACCGCCTTTAGAATAGAAGTAACAGGGTGTGTAGGTTAGGAAGGATGCATGCTGCATGAGTGTGGTCTAGTCTGAGCTTGCTCTGATTATCACGTGCTTGCTTACCCCAATGTGTGCCTGTTGTCTCCTTCGCCTGTTGTGCAGGTCTGACTTTACGAAGACAGTCATGCCAAGAGGAGGGAAGGGGACACGGCCGCCTCAGAGGCCGTTGAGCGCATCAGGAGGATATAAGCGGCATGGGCCTCGCCATCGAGAGAGTACTCCAGTCTACAATGATGGGGACATCGAGCTATTCTGGGAGCATGCGAGGCATATGGGTTGGACTGTCGCTCAGGCGATTGAGAGATTGAGGGGAGCAGGTAGGTTCGAAGAGCCCATTGCCAGGATTCATAGGGAGGCGACGACGAGGCAGGAGGTGGAGATGAGGATGGAGGAGTTGCGACCTCGCCTATGGGACCTGATGGCAGGCCGATCCGCCTGGAGATTGGAAATGCGTCGGACTTCATCCCCGCGTTTGAGTGGTTCATGCAAGAGCAGGGCATACCAAGAGATGATTGGATGCAGACGCTACCCCTCTGGACCAGAAAGGCGGAAAGGTCACTGGCTATGCAGATTAGGGACATGGCACGAGATTGGGAGAGCTGCAGGGCACATTTGAGAGAGGTCTTTCGACGGCCAGAGCTCCCTCAGCCCAGAGTCGAGAGGCGGCAGAGGAGTCAGAGGTCGAGGGATCCTGAGCCCAGGGAGGTGAGACCGTCTCGGGGGGACGGAAGGCCCTAGCCAGGAGAGAGGAGGAGCCGGAGCGGGAGCCAGAGGTTGAGAAGCGAGGGGCATACCCTGAGTGTGGGTTGGGACCAGTGGAGTTCCATCGTTTTACTGAGGGTGGATTGAGGAGGTCACCAGCACACACACGGGAGGAGCCGCCGGTGTTTGAGGGGCCGTTGAGAGAGTTAGAGACGCATCTGGATATCTCTCAGTGGAGATTATCGCCTCAGGATGAGAAGCATGAAGAGCTAGTAGAAGGGGTGCCACGAGAGGAGGTGCCACGTGAGGAGATGCCACGAGAGGAGGTGCCACGTGAGGAGATGCCACGAGAGGAGGTGCCACGTGAGGACATGCCACGAGAGGAGGTGCCACAAGACGAGGTCCAGGGTACTCAGCGAGAGAGAGGGTTGGGCGATGAGAGGAGACGTGCAAGGAAGGAAGTGATAGAGGTTGGAGAGGACACGCCCCCACAGACGCCAACAGTGGGTTTGAGACTCGGGGATGCACCAGGGAGCACCCGGCAGGCAAAGGAGGGGTTGCAGAGAGAGGAGACCCCTTTACCTTCGTCAGAAAAGGCTCCTTCGCCAGAAGGAAGGGCAGAAAGGAGGAGAGAGAGGGCAGCTGTAAGGATAGAAGCTCTGATCCTGATTGATAGGCACCTAGCAGCTCATGCCCTGAAGCACCCAGACCTGGACGAGCCAACACCTGCAGAGCCACGCCAGGAGTCATATCAGCCCGAGAAGGAGATGGAAGCAGAGATCCCAAAGAGGGTCGACCTCCGCACGAGGGAAAGGGTGTCAGCTGGAGAGACGACTGAGGAAAAGAGAGCAAGAAGAACTAGACGGATAGATGAGATATGGCAAGAGAGGCAGAGGTTGGAGGCAGCGGGGGAACTTCCGGAGCAGCAACAGGAGAGGCAGAGATCGGAAGCAGCAGGAGCACTCCCAGGTCAGCCACCCAGCGCGCCAGCCAAGGCCCCGGAGATTCCTGAGATGTGGAGAGACTTCTGGGAGCAGAGAGGAGAGGAGTTTCCATCGCCAGTCAAAGCCGGGTTTGGGGTGGCCAGGAAGGCGGAAGAAAGGTTAGATCCTAAAATCAAGTTCCTGGCCAAGACCACTTTTGACCGGCACTTGTTATTGGAGGGCGATCTGGCGGGGAAGAAAATGAAGGAAGCCAGCCATGGAGTACGTCTGGAGGCTATGGAGATGGAAATTCAGGAACTTAGGGCTTTGGTGGCCAGCTAGGCAGCTATCATTGAGAGCCTGAGGCAGCAAACCGAGGGAAAGGTGGACAGACCAGAGAGAAGCCGGCAGGGAGAGCAGAGGCAGCCAGGACAGGGATTGCCAGGACAGCCATCTGSGACAGAGCCTCGCCAGGAGCCACCTATGGGGAGGGTTATCTTGGAGTCAGAGGAGGCGAGAGCACAGAGACAGGCGGAGAGAGAGGCGTTCGAGTTAAGAGCCCCTACCGAGCTCGCGACACTTCCAGTAGCAGCGGCGGGCCCAGTCGTACCTTTGGCAGTAGAGGAGGGGCTTCCACCATCTAGCAGTGAGACGGCTCAGGGCTCAGTAGAGGAATCCATGAGCGTGCTCCTTGAGGCGGTGCATACTATGCAGGAGGAGGTGAGTTTGTTTTCACCTGAGCAGAGGATAGAGGAGCCTCTTGAGAGAGAGATGGGGATTGAGGAGGAGGGTGCCATCGAGGGCAGACTCCAGAGGATAGGCACACCTGAGTATGGACCAGAGGAGATTGAAGAGCAGTCCACGGCAGTGCCAGGGGCGACACTCAAAAGGAGGCCTCAGAGGTTGGACACGCCCGAGTACGTCCCAGCGACAGCGGATTTGAGAGGCAGACTAGGATCTTGGGCTACTGGATCTGGGTCTGCTGGACCGGTTCCGGGGACAGAGCAGCAGGAAGTCGTTAGTACCGCAGCTCCTCGATCAGAGCAGCAGGGGGGCGTCAGTACCTTGGTGGGATCTCCTTCATTGCGACCTCCCCAGCCCAGGAAGAAGAAGTTCAAGAGAAAGGTAGATCAGCTATGTTTTTACTGCAAGAGGGACGTGCATTTGGCTTTGGACTGTCTCGAGTTTCTTGAGGATAAAGCAGCAGGGAAGATCTCAGAGGTAGGGGGTAAAATGTATGATAGACAGGGTAGGATAGTAGAGAAGTCCGCAGATGGAGTTGAGGAGGTAGGGCCGGTTTTGTCTATATAAGTGAGCGAGCATTTTGTGAGGCATCGACTTAGGTTCTGTGTGATACCCTCTTAGACTTAGAAGACATTTTGATGATTGCTGTTAATCTAGATTTGAACTCTAGTGTTTCTACTGAGTTGGGGTTTTGAGGGTCAGGGTGGTTTAGATGAGGCATGTACATATTTAGGTGGCCTACGCCCTGGTCTTTGAGAGACATATCTGACATGTATTCTAAGGGTAGTTGTCAGTGTGGGTTTGGTGTGACTTGAGTTGAGCAAGCTATGATTTGGAGACACTTCTGTTTGAGACATTGTACTCCCTGAGTGTATATTATGATGAGGTTTCCTTCAGGGACCATTCTTATATGTGACGATCACTTGTCTCTCTCACATGTGTGGTTGTACTCTGATGTATGATGAGTTTGTGTGGACAATGTGTGAAAAAACATTTTATGTATCTTGGGTATTGTGGATATGATTGTAAGTAAAACTGTCTACTCCTCGGTGCACTTATGCGACCTGCCCACGGCAGCTGATAAGGCAGAGTATAAGGGGAGGAAGCGCAGTCCGTCTGTGAAAGTTATCTAAGTTGTGATAAGGACCCATAAAATGGTCTCTCAGTGATTTTGTTTATGATAAGCCCCCTTGGATTTTGGAGAAGGGGATGTTTTTGTGACAATGTGGGTTATGATAAGACCCCTCGTGATTTTTGGAAGAGAGGGTGTTTTGTTTTGTGGCGAGACCCCTCGTGATTTTTGAAGAGGGAGGTGTTTTTGCTTATGATGAGAGCCCTTTAAAAATAAAATTAAAAATTAAAAAAAATAAAAAATAAAAAAGATGTTTTTGTTGTTGAGAGACTCACCTTCAAAGGTGAGTAAACTGATTTATGACATGGTAAGTTGCCTATTGACTGATAAAGTCTGACGAAAAAGGGTCACTCTTTGGAATGTTTGAAAAAGTCGCAATGAGTGCAGGGCGAGAGATGTCTCAGGGTGAGTGGTTGCTGGCTCTGATCAAGTCAGGGGTCACGGCCTGGTGGATTTAGCGGTGATTTTGTTTGTAAGCGTACGAAGGATGCCATGCCTATTGAGGGAGGGTTGGTAAATGCCTTCGGACCCCTGCGTATCGCGCAGTGAGCCTGTGATTTTGTTTTGCGACGCACCCGTTTAACCACTAGTGCTAATTCTGAGACATATTGAAGAAAGATCAAGCTAACGAAAAAGAAGTTAGTACCTCTAGGGCGTAACCCCATTGGATGGCTGCTAACCGGCGCAACCTGGTTGCGGGACCGCGGGGTAAGAGTTTAAGGGGAGTTMCCCGCCCCAGGGAAATTACTCCGTGGGATAGTGAAGGTTGAGATTTTGGGAGGTCCTGATTGAGTGCTTATCAGGAGAAACCCTGTCGTTGCGTAACCAAGGAGGGTACTGCCGTTAAATAACAATGCGGTCGGCCGTAGTCCTGGTCCGATCAACCAGGCTATGGTGGGCAAAGATGGAGACCTGACCTTTCTGTACTAGACTGCAGAAAGAGCGGAGTGGATATTAAGTTTACATATATACGTATATGAATTTGATTGTGAGAGATTTTGAGAAGGAAGGCGAGAGTGCCTTCAAAGGTCGCAGTTAAGGCCCGCGTCCCTAGTTTTTGCCAGGACTAGAAACACCCAACGAGAAGCCGAAGGTTGTCTAGGACCGGGGAGAGGACGATTGGGAAGGTCTTTGGAACTTATGTTGTCAACGTCCTAATTTCTGGGTAGTAAGAGACCTGGGTTCGAAACCTGGCACCATATAGTTGTGGAGGCATGGTTTTATGGAGGCCTCTACCCTGTGTTTGTCGGTTAATCGGATTGGCTCACTTCTTTCGTCAACATTTGGCGTGTGAATGGATTTATAGCTTTCAGATTTGGCGAGCCGACGGGGACGTCGCTTAATATGGTCTGGTAAGGCTGTCGGTGCGAATACCCTTACAAGGGTATCCGCCCTGGTTTTTGCAAGTAACAGAAAAACGGTTTTGGTTTAGAATTTAACTATACCGCGCTAAGAGCGGCTGCGTCTGTAATTGCGTTGATTGGGTGGTTGACCACAATAGCGAGTGCGTGAGAGCGCAGGTTTAAGACGCCCGTGATTCTTTTCTGTTGTTGATCATAAGAATCGGCTCGGACCTCGGTCGTTTTGCTTGGTGATATTATTATTTATTTATTTTTGATTAAGCAGGAATCAAGGATATTTTCTTTTTGGTACATTTGACCAAGTCAAGCGCGCGTGTGGAGAACGACCCCGACGACGGCGCGACTTTGTGCGGTAAGCAGGGAGTGTACGATGGCGCGCGGGGCAATTATGGCATGGTATAAGCAAGCCGGCGCGGACACTGGGGGCCGCGCAGCCGGTTTATGGGCCCAAAAGCACCGCGCCGCACCGCTTGTATGGTACTCTGCGGGCGCTGGTCTCAGACTTGGGCTTAGCCCTATAGGTTACGACATTGGGCTAACACTATGAAGGTTCGGGGATCGACGTCCACAAGCGCCAGTGGAGCATCGAGGAAGGAGCCGATGGGGTTGAGGGTCGTGGGGTTATCCCCTTTTGGTTTTGTCGATGGCGGCGTCCGGTCAGTGGTGGCATTTTCTAAATAATTTTATTCTAGCGTCGTATTTTTTATACCCCGGCGGACCGTTGACTTGGGCGAGACGCCGGATCTAATGGTCGTCACGGCAGTCAAGGATCTTGAGCGCGGCCGCATGTTTGGGGTGCTGGTAAAAGTCCTCCCTTATGTCGTGGCTGAAAAACCACGACGCGGTAGGGGTTGAGTTTGTAATTGCACTTGAGGCGAAAGGGCCGGTAATGATGAATATATACGTCCTACGCTTCGGGTTCGATGAGGTCGCGGGGGGGGGTGCGTGTTGTATTCACAGGATTGCTTGAAGGGCGCCTACAACCTGGTTTCGTAACTGCGCCAGAGTTACCCCCTTCGTAGCATAACAGGGAGCCGCGTAGCAGCCACATTCATGCTCGGGCCACCAATAGGGAAAACTGAAGGAAAACGCAACCACAGGTGGAGGCGCTACCTACCACACGCAGGTGGGCCATGCAGGCCATGGGTCGGCCGGGAGGATCAGGACTAAGCCTTCTCGGTGGGCCAGTCATTATGCCTCGCCTCCGATCCAGCAAGAGGGCGGAGTAGCCAAGGGCGCGTGTGAATCGGGACGGAGGCAGCGCGAGGTGCAAGCCGGGTGCATTGCAACGGGCAGTGGAGGCGGGGAAGGCGTTGGTATAAGGGCGAAAGACGAATTGAACCGTCTGTTTTCCCTGGAGTTCCCCTTGAGACAGTCGGTACTGCTCTGAACGCTACCCGGGTTGTYTGTGGGATCGACCATTGCCAACGAACTACGATAGCRGGGAGGGCAGAATGACACAGCGGGGCGACCATRCTAGGGCGGAGACAGCGGGAGAGAGGCTCGGRCGGAGTACTGGGTGGACCGCTGCATYGARCGBCGGARCGTGCATAGGAAAGCAYGGCGGGCGCWAGCACAGCRGAGGGGTGGATACAGCGGCGAATGCAGACAKGGGCGGAAGGTGAAGGCAGCAGCGCGGTGAGAATGGAATGAATTTGACCCAGAATCGCRTCTGGGTGCGTTCAGAGGCAAAGGCAAGGAGTGAAGAAAYGAGATTTMACTCGATTCTTGATGGAATCGAGTGAAAGAAGAGGGTAGATTAGCATTTTGAAGCCGGGTGAAATCAACTATATAGTTAGTTTTGGAAGAAAATCAGTAGAAAGGAAGATTAGCAGGAAGATGCCGCGAGGAGATCGCCGGGAGTAGGAAGAAGGTGGGAAAATGCATATCAGGTGCGTCTCCGAGCGGATTTCGACAGAGTAAAAGTCGAAATTATGGTTTCAGGGCAGGGCGAATTCAATAGGGATATTAGTTTTGGATGAAAGTTAGTGTAGTTTGAGTCAGTAGTTAGGAGGCTTGCGCGGAGCTGCTAAACCAAAAGCTATGGCGGGAAGAAAAAGCTCGGCATCTCGCGCGATTCTTCAGGTAATCGGGCGAAGCRAGGTACTAKCTYGGGTTTTTTTACCAGCGCGGGGCGGATCGCGGTGGTAAAACTCGGCTTGGGGAAGCCATTCGGACRGAACRGGATACGACTGTTGCGCCTGGGAGTAAAAAGTAGTAAAACGTAATGGCACCTAGCCGGCTTGTAGCGGTAGATTCATTCGATTTTGCTCATTTTCTGCAATGAAACTRACGTGAATAGGTGCGCGGATTGGAAGACCTACCTGTGTACCAGTGCGCTGCTCGTCTATGAATGGAAGTAGTATCTCCSAATCTCCYGGCGCGCGCGACTGGACAGTAAYGTATATTTCCGTGTTCTTGYGGTATGTTCATTCGAAGTCTCGCTCATCGTATTGAGCGAATTASCGCAGCGGAAGGCCGRYGSGTCGTTGRAAACTTACTRGTGAACCAATGCGTCGCCCAGTCTACTGATAGAAGTARCTCTTCCCTGACCCCCTRCGCGAGTGGTTGAATCACAGTRTATATRACCACRTTTTAGCGGTAGGKTMATTCTAATTTTTGCTCACCTCACTKAGGGAAGTGGCGTGGGGSCAACTTCGAGGTTAGAGACTGGCCTGTTGGCCTATGTGCTCGCATGGGAGARCAGGAACGAAGAGGAGGTAGGTGAGAAGACGAGTACACTTACCTTGCTAGAGCGCATCCGTGATCACAACGAGCGTGAGTCGGCTACAGGGCTTACGCTGTAGGAGCGCAGACTGAGAAGGGGAAGAAGKCAAACGAATTTGGGTTACTTACCTGGTCGGAGCGCGTYTATGTTGTGAGGGYATGCGCCTGCCACGAGATAAGGTGCTAAGCYGCAGGGAAAAATAGGGKAGGSGWGGTCTTACGACCCAGCRAACGGACTGAGCAGGTGCGGCARGCCGTATGAGGCAGGACGAGGCTGTTTTTGAGTTGTGAATCAACCCAYCGCTCGATTGYTGGRCTCCTACAGCGGTGAACTGTACATCCAGCTACAAGGCTTACCATCGAGCTTGCGGCA